CATACATACCTCTATACATGCATGCATACATACATACATGCATGCATACATACACACACATGCATACATACATACATACATACATACATACATACATACATACATGCATGCATGCATGCATGCATGCAGACAGACAGACAGACAGACAGACAGACAGTTAGACAGACAGACAGACAGACAGACAGACAGACAGACGTACATACATACATACCCGCGTACGAACATATATACATATACATATATGTGTATCTACATATATATATATATATGTATATATATATGTGATTTCCACGGGGCTCCTCATCGCCACGCCCGGCTCCGCCTTATTCTTTTGGCCAGAACGCATGCAGGAACAGGTCCAGGGACCGATTCATGAGCCCCAGAGCCACACCTCCCCTGAGATTCGATGCGGGCGCTGCCGTTTCTCCGCACCGGGCGTCCTGGCCCGGCCCCGGGCCCCGGGACCATCAGAGCTCGATCCGGCTCGAAGAAATGCCGCGCAGAGGTGGTGCCTGTGTGGGGCTGTGGCTGTGATGCCTCGCCATGCCGCATTGTGTTCCCAGCGTCGGCTCCCCAGGGGAGGAGGAGGGGAGGACCGAGCACCAGAGGCTCTTGGACGTTCTCGTCGGCCCCCCCTGCGACGCCGTGAGGCCTCTGGTGATATGTTGTTCCCGTCCTACTTAAGAACCACATCCCAGAAAAAATGTCGAGCACCCGGAAAAGTGTCAAAAGAGTGTCGAAACAGTGTCGAAGCAGTGTCGGGCGAGCGCCTCCCAGGGCCCGACACGTGAAAACCATCGAGCTTCGGCACTGTCTGGGGCGCTCGAAATTCTATATGGTGATCAAGGCTAAGGCAGGTTGGAGCATCATAACTCTGGTCGGGAGCGGCCAAGAGGGGGGTGTCCAAGAGGGGGGGGTGCAAATCATGACCAGCGGCATGTGCGCGGCCCAGCGGGGGGGCCAGGGCCGTAATGAAACAAGAAGAGGCGCCATGAAATCTGGGGGAAAATCATGGCCCGCGCCATGAAATCCCCCACCCCCCCCCTAGTCATCACCCCCCTCTTTTCCGCTCCCGGTCAGGGGCCGCCAGGGAGCTCCAGGAAGCGGCAGCCGGAAGCCCCAGCCGAGGCGCATCGTGAGGGCAGGAGGCCCCCGGGTGTCCACCGCTGGACCCAGCTCGGCGGCGCCGGGGCACAGGACGCGATCCGCGTGGGCCAGAGAGGCAAGCGTGCCAAGGGCGGTCTCCTGAAGCCCTGCCTCGTTAATTACTGTGGATTCTGGCCGCAGGTTGCCCCACATCGCGCCCTCGCGCCGAAGCCAGTGGAGAAGGGCAGCTCGCAGAATCAGAAGAACGAAGAGTACGAGCCGTAACCACCTGCGTGCCCTGAGGATGACCTGGGGAAAAAGGAGGAGGCGGCGTCCGAGGGAGGCAGCAGGAGGGAGGATGGGCAGGGGAAGAGGGCGCTACGAGGGGTGCAACGTCACCAAGGGCCCACGTAGAATCTCGTCTCGCCCAGAGGGCGATGGCGATGACGACGACAACGACGACGACGACGACGACGACGACGACGACGACGACGGCGGCGGCGGCGGCGGTGCTGAGGACGATGGCGACGCTGCCTCTAATGGGGGTGCAGATGCTGACGAGGCTGGTGGTGACGGTGACCGTGTGGGGAAGACGAAGGGACGGTGTGCAGCGCGCCACCCAGGCTCAGGGGACGCCGACAGGGACTCGTTCTGCGGGGGCAGCGCGTGATTCAGGCACAGCCGCACGCGCGGTCTGGATCGGCAGAGCCGCCTGCCGAGGAAGAGGGTGGGGGCGGGGGCATGAGCGGGCAGGTGCGGCTGGCGCACGTCGCGACGACATGGGCGCTGCCTTCTGACACCGCGTGGGTCATTCTACATGGAACGATCGGGGCGTTCCGACACTGCACACCGTTCGGCATCCGCCGGTTCGTGGACCACTGGCGGTGTTCATCATTGAACGCCTGCGCTGGAGTCGCCGCTGCGCCACCGGGGCGCGCTGGTGAGCGGTGGACGCACACAGCCTCGCATTGAGAAGCCGCCGCGCGTGCCCTCCCAGGGGGCACGAGCGGCCCCAGAAGCTCGGGCCGACCGTCGGCAGAGGCCGCCGGAGGAGGACCGCGGACCCCAGCACAGCCGCCGAGGCGACGTGCGGCTATCCGGGCAGAGCACGCCCGTGGGGCCCTCCCCGAGGCCTCCGGGCCCTCCCTAGGAGGAGGAGGAGGAGGAGGAGGAGGAGGAGGAGGAGGAGGAGGAGGAGGAGGAGGAGGAGGAGGAGGAGGAGGCGGCCCTCGCTGCGGCCGCTCGGGGCGAGCCAGGCAAATCCCCGGGGCGCCCTCGGCGAGGCGCCACCTGCAGGAGCGCCGCCCGAGGCAGGAGGAGCTCCGGGCTCCGACGGAGACGCCCGCCCACTGCCCGCGCCCCGAGGCAGGAGAGCCTCCCGGAGAGCGCGAGCCCCACGCCGCGCTCACTGCCCTCAGCGGCGCTGGCCCTCCGGCCACTCCGTCCAGGGCGTGAAGTCCGGCTCCTCGACCAGCGCCTCCGCGAGGAGGACCTTGAGCCTCCGTGGAGCAGGCGCCGAGCGCCCCAGCATTCCTGCAGGCCCACCGCGACACGTTCTCAGAATCAAAGTGTGCGCTGAGAACAAAAGCCAAATTCTTGGAACGCGAAGCCGATGTGTTAAAACAAGACGGTCTCGGCCAGAAATGTTCTGATCATATTTCGTGCAAGCCACAAGAGGTCTTTAGAACATTCTTTGGTGGGCCTACTAGGAAAGCCAGGACGCCTCGTCACTGCTTGACCCCAGGGGACCCAACCAAACTGCAAAACATAAACTTTCGGAACTCCGCACGGACTTCTCGGATCGGCGCTGGACCCCCCTTCCTGGCGCGCGGAGCGCGCCGGGAGCGGCGCCAGAGGCGCCGCAGGGGGGGGGCCCTGGCGCAGATCCGCAATGGTCCCCGCGAGGAGCTCCGAGAGCTTTGGTTATGCTCTGTCTGTGCCTTCTCGGCCCTCCCTCGAGCCTCTTCTCGTCGACGGGCAGGGCCGCCCCAGCGCGCCGCTGGTGCCTCGCGGGCAGGAAGCGCACGCGGAGGCAGAGGAGGAGGAGGAGGAGGAGGAGGAGGAGGAGGAGGAGGAGGAGGTAGGAGGAGGAGGAGGAAAAGGGGGAGGAGCGAGGAGGAGGGAGAGAGGAGGAGGAGGAGGAGGTGAGGAGAAGGAAGGGGGAGAAGGAGGAGGAGGAGAGGAGGGGGAGGAGGAGGAGGAGAGGAGGAGGAGGAGAGGAGGAGGAGGAGGAGGAGAGGAGGGGGGGAGAAGGAGGAGGAGGAGGAGGGCCAGTGCCTCGCGGGCAGGAAGCGCACGCGCCCGCGCTCCGCCTGCAGGAGGACAGCAGAGGGCAGCGCCTCGACCCCGCGGCCATGGGCCCCGAAGAGGCCAAAGAGCTCGGGCTCGTCGTGGGGGTTCATCCACGCGAAGCGCAGCGCGCCCGCCTCCCGGTGGGAGCGCAGGTGCTCCTGCAGCCTGGCCAACATCGCCTCCTCCTCGGGAGGGGGGGATCTCAGGGGCGCCCAGGGACACACACACACACATAAATATATACATATATATATACACACACACATATGTGTGTATATATGTATATATATATATATATATATAGACACAAATAGACACACATCCACGGGTTCCCAAATGTTTCCCTATATTTTCTGGGTGTTCGTCTTCCCCCCAGCTTCCCATATTTCCCAACCATCCTGTGGTGTTGGGTCCTCGTTTTGAAGAGACGGTGCCCCGCGTTCCTCCTCCTTCCTCCCGCTGTCCCCTCCCTCCTCCCTCCCCCTTGCCTCTGCCCTCCGCATGTCTCTGTTTCGGCACATCCCTCACGCGTTCCGTGGCCCCATAGGGAGCTCCACCGAAGGCCCCAGTGGCAGGGTCCGCATGGCGGCCCCGCATTTTGGCGCACCCCTCACACGGTTCGTGGCCCCATAGGGAGCTCCACCGAAGGCCCCAGTGGCAGGGTCCGCATGGCGGCCCCGCATTTTGGCGCACCCCTCACACGGTTCGTGGCCCCATAGGGAGCTCCACCGAAGGCCCCAGTGGCAGGGTCCGCATGGCGGCCCCGCATTTTGGCCCGCCCCTCACACGGTTCGTGGCCCCATAGGGAGCTCCACCGAAGGCCCCAGTGGCAGGGTCCGCATGGCGGCCCCGCATTTTGGCGCACCCCTCACACGGTTCGTGGCCCCATAGGGAGCTCCACCGAAGGCCCCAGTGGCAGGGTCCGCATGGCGGCCCCGCATTTTGGCGCACCCCTCACACGGTTCGTGGCCCCATAGGGAGCTCCACCGAAGGCCCCAGTAGCAGGGTCCGCATGGCGGCCCCGCATTTTGGCGCACCCCTCACACGGTTCGTGGCCCCATAGGGAGCTCCACCGAAGGCCCCAGTGGCAGGGTCAGCATGGCGGCCCCGCCCCATTTTGGCGCACCCCTCACACGGTTCGTGGCCCCATAGGGAGCTCCACCGAAGGCCCCAGTGGCAGGGTCCGCATGGCGGCCCCGCCCCATTTTGGCGCACCCCTCACACGGCTCGTGGCCCCATAGGGAGCTCCACCGAAGGCCCCAGTGGCAGGGTCCGCATGGCGGCCCCGCCCCATTTTGGCGCACCCCTCACACGGTTCGTGGCCCCATATGGAGCTCCACCGAAGATGATGCCCACAATTGCGGTATTAACAATTGCTTATGGTTGGGTCTTTCGCCAGGCTAATTTCCCACATTCCCTTCGGAGTCAACGACTCATTGTGTCTGTGTGTTTTCCCCTCCTGGGAATTGGCGGGGGCTGTGGGAGGAGGGGGGAGGACTTCTTAGAGGGAGGCTGCCTCTCAGAAGGCGCAGGCCTTACGTCTGTAGACAAGGCCCGCGCCTTCCGAGAAGCAGGGGTGCTTCCCCCCTCCCCCTACCTCCCTCTGCGCGTGGCCGAGAGAAGAGGCGGCATGAGCACGGGCTTCCAGAGCTCCGCGCGGGGCTTCTTGGATCGGCGCCAGGCTCCCCTGGCAGCGCCCCCCCTGCCCACCAGGGGTAAAGGAGGCCCAGCGCCGCTCCAGGAGATCCTCCCGGAGCTCGGAGAGCTTTTGAGTTCGTGGCTATGCAGCTGCGTCTTCTTAATCTCCTTGTTATAATGAATATTACGCTTCTTAATCATAGCAGTTCGTTTCTTTCTATGATTGCGCATGTATTTCTGTATTAGCAGTAGTAGTAGTAGTAGTAGTAGTAGTAGTAGTAGTAGTAGTAGTAGTAGTAGTAGTAGTAGTAGTAGTAGTAGTAGTAGTAGTAGTAGTAGTAGTAGTAGTAGTAGTAGAAGTCGTCGTCGTCGTCGTCGTTCCCGTCGTCCGTCGTCGTCCGTCGTCGTCGTCGTCGTCGTCGTAGTAGTCGTAAGTAGTAGCAGGCATCAGTATAGTAGTAGTAGGCAGCAGTAGTAGTTAGTAGGTGTCCGTAGTGTAAGTAGTAAGCAAGCAGTAGTTAGCAGCAGAAGAGCAGTAGCAGTAGC